TCCCCCCCTGGCGCCCTGCAGCCCCCGCTCCCGTCCGCAGAGCGCCCACGGCCTGGCGTCGGGAGCGTTGGCCTCCTCGGCAGGCAGTGCCCAGCTGCCTGGCTGCAGCCTCCTGCCGGCTTTGTTTGTTTTCTGTCTCACTTTGCTAAGTGCCTTCTAATTTTTTTCCACAAAGAGCCAGTCCCTGCCAAGGGGCACATGGGTCAGCGCTCATTACGGTAGGAAACGCGTCCAGCCGCGAGCTCTTACAAACAGCTCTGCAATAACCAGAGAAGGTCAAACACACCAACACAAGCAACAAGTGGCAACCATGCTGCGACCCAGTGAAAGCACCCCTACCACAGCCGCCTGGGGGGCAGAGACCAGCCATCGCACGTGGCCACCCCCTGCCACCTCACTGGCACCCTGCAGCGCTAACCTTACTCATCTCCCAGCAAGGTCTCCCAACAGTGCCATGGCTATGGGCTGCACAGCCTGCAGGGCAGGGGAAGGAGGACCTGATGGTGGGCCTTGGCATACAGGCACCTGGTTTGTTCCTGGACACATACGGTTTGTTCCTGGACACAGAGCATCCATCCTCATCCTTCCCAGCTTCTCAGAAGTGATGCATAAGCATTGCTGTGGATGCCCACGTTACAGCAAGGTAACAAGCAGGACCGGCTTGACAAACAACAGGTTATCTCCTTTGACCAAATACAAACAGAGATAGCGTAATTATAATTGCCCATTTGCTCAAAACAAAAGCCATGACACACTCAAAGTGACACCTATTGTGTTGGGACATACACAAGCGCATTGCGAGCCAGCCTCTGGGAACTCACAGCACAGGCAACCACTGCGTGGAACCATGCCCAACCTCCATGGAAAAACTTGCGCTGCAGGAAGGCTGCACCTGAAGGCAGGGGTTTGCCACTGGGCTTTGGAGATTTCTCTCTCCCTTCCTTCCCGTGTGTCACCTATTCTTCCGCTTCTACTGCCTTCCCTGACGGTGAGCAAGCACGAGTTTGGCTTTCCAATTAGGAGTGGTTTCATGGCAATGGATAGGCATGCTACGCCAGCCCTTTAAAGAAAAGCTCTTTACCCTGCATTAAAGCCGCAGCACTTTCCTTACATCTTGTAGATAAGGGGCTGCTGGCAGGCAGTATGGTGAATACCTCAGCATCCTCCCACCACTGATTATAATGGATCACTTTGCAGGGATAAGGTCAGCGCTTCCCCCAAGCGCAGTCAGGATGGGGCAGGGCCAGATACCTTCTCAGGCTTCACCCCATGCCTTATTTCCGTTTGCTGCCCTCCAAGACAGCAGATACCTACGTGCAGAGAGGCTGATCTGGCGGCCCATCAAGGTTTACCTGCAGGCAAGGGAACAGGCGCAATATGGGTGTACAAGTGACATGAAACCCTAGCGGCCATGACTCTGCTGGAGAAAGGGAAATGCTTCAAGACTGCCTGTTGAGATTTCATGTTTGTGCCTGAACTCTGACCCGGCGCTTTGCACGCACAGGGTCCTTGTGCCGTGTGCCAGCTGTGTCCCGGGAACCAACTGCTGAGGCTGCACTTCCAGTCCCTCCTTTTGCAGTCAGCATCCTGCACTCCTCCACCTTCAGCCACCAGCTGTGAGTACACTTGTATTTCGCAAGAGGCATGAATCTGCACGGTTGTACATCTCGCTGTAGTACTGCAACAAAGGCAAGCCTTCACACAATAAGGGCACGCACGCAGAATCAGTCTGTCTAGCTCAGTATCTTGTCTTTGACAGAGACCAAAGGTGGATGTCAAAAGAGTGCAAGAATGGGTTAAGCAAATATGTAAGTCTCCAATTACCCTCCCAGCCTCCAACCAATTCTGTTCTGGAGACTCCCTGAGCCAGATGCACTTTTTATGTGTTTCGTAACCCTCAGTGGGCTTTGCTTCTGTGAAAACGTCCACTCTTCCCTCTAACTCACTCGTTGCCTTTAGGCAACGATGGCATGCTGTAGCAAGGAGTTCCTCAGCGGCGCTACACCTATGAAGGGCAGTTCACCTTGTGCAAAGGACATGCTTAGCTTCATTTGATGCTCCTTGATTCTTCTATTCAAAGAGCAGATAAACATTAGATCCTTTCTCCGTGCCAGCCATGACTTTACAGGCTTGGGTCAAATCCACCCTACATCATGTTTTTCAAACACAAAAATTCTAGCTTACTTAGTCATACAGAAACAGCTCCATGCCTTTGATCCTCCTTGTTGCTTTTCTCTGAATCTTTCCCAGTTCTACTAGACTCTTTTAGAGACAGTGGGACAAGCACTCCATGGAGACTGAGGGTGGGTGAGCTGTGGATTTCAGCAGTAACACAAAGCTGTTTTCTGCTTTGTCTTCTTTTTTTTCTTAATGATTTGATGTGTTTTACTGACTGTAGTTGCACAGTGAGCTATCTGAAATAACTCCAGGTCCTGCTGTGAGTGGCCAGCTCAGAGTTTGTCATTTTGTAAATCTGGGTCTATTTATTCCTCTTGTGTTTCAATTTTTCTAAATTGAATTCCATCTGCCTGCTGCCCAGTCCAGTAATAGTCTTCTGTAACTCTTCACAGTTGGCTCTTGTCTTCACTAACTAGAATAATTCGAGAGCATCAGGAAACCGTCATCTCGTTGCTCATCCCCTTTTCCAGGTCACTCATGAATGCGTCGAAAAAGCATGGGACTGAACGCAGGCTCCATATGGGTGTAGGCGAGCAGCTCTCCACTTGTGATCTTCTATTGCAAAAATTGAGCTCTTATTCCTGCCCTCTGCTTCCTGTTTTTTAAAGCAATTATTAATCCATGCAACCACCTCCACTCTCGACCAGCCGGTTTCCTTAAAAGCCTGGGGTGAAAGACCTTGTTGAATGCTTTTAGGAAAGGTGTGTGGACACCAGCAGCCCTCCCCTGGAGACCCTTGCAAAGTGCTCCCACAGCTGTGGGAGGTTGCCCTTCCCGTGGCAGGAGCCTCCCCGGTATACCACCGCTCTCCTGCTGCCACTGATTCAATTTGCTGCTACCATCTACTCATTTGCCAGGCACACACAGATTTACTACGCAGCTTTTCCCTGGCACTCCCTCCAGCCCTTCTTAAAACTCAATGTCACGTTTTTTCCACCTCCCAGTTAGTATTCAGAGACCAGGGCGGTTGTGAATGAACGACTGTATATGACAGATAACAGTTAGCTCTTCCATCCCTGCCTTCCTGTAGCCCTCTCAGTGAATATCATCTTCTCCTAGTGACTTGTTGCCATTCGTATTGTCTGTTTTAAAACTTTTCCTCTGAACTCTTCAGATGCTCTAAGTTAAAGTCCCTGAAAAGAAGGATGCAGATGTGTAAGAAATCCCCTAGGCTCTTCTGGAGTGGACAGAGAGAAAAAACCTTCCTTTAGCTTTTTTGTTATGGCCTCATTTTCTCTAATCGCCTGCTACTCCAACTGACTATGGCAGGCTTCCTACTCCTGATGTGTTTTACAAGCAGTTACCATCACAGAGCTGATAATACTTCCTATTATTCTTGTTCTCCTCCTTTCCGAGCCCTGCCTCTGTGCAAACAGGCTCACTGCCACATCTGCTCCCCTCATCACTGCTCTTTGCTGGGTCCTGAGAAGGGAGTTTAGTGAGAGAGCGGGACAGCAGCATCGCTGCCTAACTCCGCTGCCTCGCTGCTTGCAAACCCCTTCGCATCGTGAGGCCCTGGCAGGCTGGGAAAAACTCCCGCAAAGCAACTGGCCCCAGGACCCTCACCCCACAGAGGTTTCTGCTCCTCCATGCATGGCTGAGGCGTGCCTCCTCGATGCTTCCCCAGGAAATGCCCCAGCTCCGGGCATCACTTCTCACCACAAGCCTGCGGCACCCTGCTTGCTGGCTCCTGCACTGAGGAAGGGAAAGGCAGCTCCAGAGCCTCTGGCTCCTGCACACACACGCGATTTCTGCAGCCACCACTCAAGCTTCCTGCAGAGCCAGAGATATGGGGGACGTCCCCAGTCCCAGCAACCATCGCTGGCTGTTATCTTGCCTGCCGGGTGGTGCAGGGAGGTGAGGGGGGAGCATTCAGCACTAGGATATGTTTTGAACTGCACACATCAGCCAGCTGCAAAAGCCTTTATCTGGACAGTAAAACAAGCCGAGAGAGGCTCCAGGGCCCCAGCAGGTAAAGCAACCCAGATGTGCGCGTAAACTAAGCTGGGAAGAAGGGTTCTCACACCCTCTGTTTACTTGCTTAATTTGACACACAAGCCATGTACTATCCTAAATGTGTCAATTACGCCTCTCTTACGTGCCTGGCCATCAGGTCACTCGCTTTGTCATAGGCCCTTTGCTTCTGACTGCACCACGCTGACCCCAGGTGTGGTCACTGCAGGCTGCAGCCCAGAAATTGCTCCCAGGGCCTGGCAGCACAAGGAGCAGGCAGCAACGGGGCAGGGCCAGCCCTAAAACCCCCCCAAACCAATGCAGACTGGACTCTGCCACCCATCAAGGAGCTCCGCTACCCCACAGCCATGGGCTTCCCTTTACCCACCATGGATGCTTCCAGCCCTGCCACGTAACTGGCAAAAGACAGGCTACTAAGACACCAAAAAAACACAAACAGCGGAAGAGAAGCCCTACCAATGGCAGCCCCACAGGTAAAGGCACACACGTCTCTCCTCAGCCTGGAGCGAGTGCCCAACCCTGGGCACTCCTGGTCCCCCGGCCAGACAAAAACCCTCAAGGCACCTACGCGCCACGTAGCAGAGATGGACGTTTCCTACTGCTCAGCATCCTGTCAGACGCTGGACCCTGCAGCTGGCTCAGCGGCCAATCCCTGCATTGCCAAAGGGTGGCATTTTAATGTCCCAGCAAGAAGCTTACCAGAAGGCAGGTTGGTCCCAGACACTTAGCCCTGGTCACTTCAGGCCACGTGGGGCAGCTGGGGCTCTGGGGCTGGCACGGTGTAGGGAGAGGCTGGAAAAGCTTTGCAAATATCTGAGCAGTCGTCTACTCCAAGGCCAGCGGTTTGGGAGTGGGAGAGGAGATAGAGTGGCTGGGGGAGGGCAGGAGTTAAGAGGAGAGCGTCATTTCTGAGGAGGCAGAAGGAACTCTTCTAGATACGGTCAACAGCAGAGGGGGAGAGATAAGCTGCTCTCAGCGGTCTGTTTGCAGAGACAGGTTTTGTCACGGCTCTTCAAACGAGCTATCGTTTTGGACGGCAACGTCTCACGCACATGAGACGTTACCTCTACCTCCTGCTGTACCTGGTTGGGGTAAAGGGCCCCAGGACACTTTTCAAAGCCAAACTGTCACCTCAGCCCTTCTCAGAAGGGGAAAAATTGGGATAAATGAGGGACAAAAAAAACCAGGACTGAGCAAGAGCTATTTTCTGCACTCATTTCCCAACACACTTCCCGCCTTTGCTTTCCCTAGGGCACACCAGCACGTCCTGGAAAACATGAGCTAGCGCTGATTCTCCTCGGCTGCTGCCCTTGGAGAAGACAACTATCTCCTCCACACCAAGGTCCCGACCTGCTTCTTTGGAAGGTCACCAGGCTTGGGAAGGAGGCATTTTTTTCCAGAATTGGCCCCCTTTGTCAGATGTTTAGAAAAATAAAGGAAAGATCCTTTCTCCCAAGGCAGAGGGAGGAATTTGCTCTGGGGTCTATTCAATACGTCTGCAAAACCCTCCAGAAACAGCAGAAGCTAATGGAAATGTTCGTGAGGACCCTGTCAGTGCCTCCCTCCGGCTCTCAGTCCTACAGGGGCTACCTGGCAGGGAGAGGGAGGCGGAAATGAGTGAGGGGTCCCTGCACGGTCTCTGGCCCACTATGGGCAGGCACAGAGGCTCGCACAAAGCTCATGCCATCCAGCCAGGGCTTCCTGTGGGTCTGGCAGGCGACTGAGCTGCACATAAAACATGGGAAGTGACGAGGTGGGGCAGGTATCTGGCAGGCACAGCCCAGCGGCTAATTAACAGGCCAGACCTGATGAATTAAGGGGAAGACAAGCTACGTGGGATGCAAAGGACTTGACCTGCAGGAGGCTAATTGGTTTCATCTCTTGATGGACTTTACTCCGCCACATCCCTCTCTTGGTGCGTGTGCACAGCCATGGCAAGAGACCAAGGCAGATGCACCCTCGGGCTGTCCGGATGCAACCCCAGCCTATGATACCCTCTGAGACCCACAGTGGCAACTGCTTGGGCTTCCTGTCCCACCTCACAGCCCCTCACGCCAGCAGGCAGACCCCGAGAAACCTCACCCCAGACCTTCACTCTCACCCTAGTCCTCTGTGGCTGAGAACCATGGCGCCACAGGGGACCGTAAATGCTGCCTGTGCAAGGTGCCGCAGGCCGGGGGCTCCCCGAGGGCCAGCCCGGGGGGCCACGATGGGAAGCAGCACAATGAGAGGAAGCAGCGTTTCCGCTTCTCAGTCAAAAAAAAACCTAGAGGACCCCTGGAGGGAATGACAGGAGAGCATTAATGTAAAAATCAGCTGGGAGCACAATGGGAGCCCAGCAGCAGCCCCCAGGCAGGAACAGGTCTTCCTTGCACGGAGGAGCTCAGGGCTTGGCGCAGCAGCGACGCAGGCCACCACAGCGAGGTGCAGGTAATCCTAACCATGCCACAGGACAAGCACAGCGCTGGCTCCTACCTGCCCGCAGCACCCACTCTGGAGGCAGGAGGTGCTTCTCATCTCTGCTCCAAAGGGTGGGAGCTGGGATGCTCCCTGGGATGCAAGGCCTTCACACGAGCGAGGGGCTGGGGCAGTGCTTAGGTAAGATCCCCCTGGAGTACGGCTGCCAGAAACAGCTCTTTTGATTTAGTAGTTTCCCCTTGCATCAGGCCCAGGCTTGCTCAAGAACAATCCTTGTCTGTACAGCTGGTATCTCTGTAGTATCCTGTACTCTCTGGTACCTTGGGCAACAGCATGCCAAAGGGACGGGACGGGCCAAGTCTACAAGAACTTTTCACCATCCCCCCTCGCGCCCCCAGCTGAAAGGAGCAGGGATGAGAGCCTCGGAGAGGAAACACACAGCAGAGGAGCAGGGTGAGACAAAAACAGCCTACGGCCAGACAAGTCTGAAGATAAGGACTCAACTAAATTCATGGGAAGCAACCCAGATAGGCTGGGTTAAGAGAGACTGCCGTGGCTGGGGAATGAAACAGAAGGGGTAAGATGAGTCTCCCTACACATAGCCTTCTGCTGGGATTGGTAGGGTTGTACCTACAGCAACACGTGGCTACCCTGGCCCCAAGGCCACTGCTCAGGGAGCAATAACGGAGGGGAAGAGCAGGACTCTGGGAGGCCATCTGTCCCGTTGGTGGGCCCTGGGGTGCTGGGATGGAGAGAGAAGAGGATTCCTCCCTCATTGCTTCATGTCCTTGGCCCTGGGACCAAGCTCGGCTGGCAGGTCCAGGCAGGAGTCAGGCCAGGAGCGACACAAGGGAGCTAAGCAAGGAGCAACCTGCAGCGTGAGACTGGTGGGGGGGGGAAGGATGGGAATGACTTTTGCTGCAGCTGGGAGGTCCTCATAACACCTCAGCAGTGAGGGGCGTGGGAGGGGGTTATGAAATCACTGGAGAGTGATTTCAAAAGCCCCCCTAAATCCTTCCTCAAGCTAAGCACAGAGCCCCCAGGGAGGAGCTCTGGAGGGCTCAATTCAACCCCAGCCATGGTCCTCTTTCCAGACGTGCACTTTACCACTCTCGCCCTCGGGAGCCGCAAGGCTCACTCGCCCTTCCCCGAAACAGGGCACTTCTGGAGTGAAAGCCAGCAAGGGCTCCTGCAGCTGCAGAGGCGCCTGCAAGAGGGAGCGCGAGGGAAGCCTGCAGCCAAACGCCAAGGAGATCGCATGTTCCCACAGCGGCCCCCTCCCTGCTGCGAGCCCGAGATCTTCCCACATCCCGGGGTATTTTCACATGCAGGGGGAGAGGCTCATGAGCTGCTGCTTTGTTCCAGCTCTGGCTCTCTCCCATATCAAGCTGGTCCCAGATGGAAACACACAGAGCTCGGAGCAGCCAGGACCCCCTAGCAAGCAAGACCTCCCTGTAGTGAGCGGGAATTACTGAACCAATCTGTCCTGGGGCTCAAACCCCTGGCTTGAGCTGGTATGAGCTGCCCTGTGTTGGATGGGATGGGAGATAGCACGGCACAACCTTTTCAAGAAAGCAGCCTCAGGCAGCCTCTGTGCTGCACTGGCTCGTTGGACTCAACCTGGGTCGCGAGGCTGTGTCGCGCTCCCCTGCCCGAGCCTCTGCGAGCAGGTGGCAGAGCTGATTTCAGGACTGAGACGGAACGAGACTTGCCTCTGCCCGAGGAGAACTGTGCAGAGAGGGCTGGAGGAGGTTGCCATACCTCCTGGGATACTTGCACGGGGGCAGAGCTCTCATTCAGCTAGTTGTGCTCCCATTCAGCAATTTTTCGGAGGCTGGTTTGGGCAGGCCGGGCTAGGAAGCCCAAGTGAACTGCAGAGCCCTGCAGCTGCTTCCAGTTTAGTGTGTGCGGAGGGGGGGAGAGCGGAGGAGTGAAACTAGAGCTAGAACAACACAGTATTCCCCTGGCACCACCGTCCTTCCAGCTCCCAAAATTTGGAGGGGCAGTTCTTCCCTCACAATTGGCAGCCCTTCACAAAAGCCAGGATGGACCCGTGGCCCAGCCAACCACTGTGAGCTTCTAGCAGGTCAAAGTTGGCTCCATCCTCTATGCGTCAGCTGTGGCCAGTGGCTGGGACAAAAATACAAGGGCTATTTTGGGCCCCCGCAGACCAAGTGGCCTTTCGCTTGTAGGCCAGCTCAGGAACACAGACCCTGGCTGACCGCTGCTTTCAGCATGAAATGTTCACAGCCCAACTGGGAAACAGGGGATGCTGAGCAGGAAAGGAGGTTTTGGCACCAGCTGCGGTCCCGCACAGTCCCTCTGCCAGCTGCCTGTCCTGCCAAGAATCAGCTCACTTCTTGAACAGCCACAGCATCTCACAAATCCCGAACGGGTCTCAGCTGCTAAATGCAGCCATTTCATGATGGACAGGCACACAGTGGCTCTGCTACAGGTTATGGGGCACAGCAATAAGGGACAGATGCTCCAGCTGGGTCTCCTCACTCTGCCCAAAGCCAATCGCTCCCAAAGTTGCAGACAGTTCCCAACAGCAGGGCAAAGCCATCCCCATAAGTCCAAGGAGTTGGGGGACCTCCAGAATCCCCACACACTATTTCCCAGCTGCCTTTAAATTAGGCTCTGGGAAAGATGCTGCTGCTCTCACAGAGGTACTGAGAGCTGGCATTGCCACGTCCCTGCTCTGTGGCAGCTCCAAAAGGGACCTGTGGTCTGTGCACAGTCTGTGCACCAAGGGGACGGAAAGCAAAGGCAGCAACAAGTCATCAGCAGAGTGAAGCAGGCAGAAGGAATTGGAGGAAACACCCATGGCGGAAATGACACAAGGCATCTCTTCCACCCTCTTCCCTCCTCTGTGAACAACTCATCTTCCTCAAAGGCCCTGACAGGGCTAAAAATCTCACAGAGTGCAGCCAGACCAAGTGTCACTGGCTCAGACAGACACATCCCTAGGAGGGAATAAGTCTGAGCACAAACCTCCTGCTCTCAGCACTGGCCCCAGTGGCAACAGTGCTAACACGAGGCAAACAGCCTGGCCATAGGACAGGAAAACCTTTATGTGAGCAAGATTAGTCAGACAGAACCAATAGGAGGTAGGGAGGTGCCCAAATCCCAGCAAAACAGGGCTTCAGACTCTTCTGCACGACCAACAATAAGAAGCCTGGCTGCAAGGCTTGCCCTTAGGAAAGGGCAAGTCACACCCCCTCTAAAGCCCTTCCTGTGCGTGCCTCTACCTCCAGGTAACCAGCCACCACCCTCTGCACCACAGGGGCCCTTGTGACCACAAAGTCAAGGGCCAGCTGGGACAAGCAGCATCCACAGGAATACCTTAGAGACACCACCAGCCATGCAGGGACAAGCCTCCTGCTCGGAAGCCTTGCGTGCACCACACCACGAGCCACTCGTGCATGCCTGCCTGCCCGCCTGCTGCCCGTGGCCTCCAG